TCGCCACGCGCTCCCGTCCAAAAATCCAAAAATGCTCGGGCGGCCGTAAAGCATCTTGGGGTGGGCGCATGCGCAGTTCGGTTTTTCGGCCAGGAGACGAGGAGAGACACAAGGTAAGTCTATAGACGTATGCAGACACCGTGTGACAGGAAGTGCCAGCAAGGACAGAGGAGTCAGCGCTGGATCGGAGACCCGCAGCAGCGCTTAAGGGACAGATGAAAAGGACAGGAAAGAAGAAGAAGATCGGATTAAGAGACATAATTTAAGGTAAGTGCTTTAATTAACATTGAGGGGAGGGAAAACATTTTTTTACTTTAATGTCACTTTAAGAGCAAAAATTTAATATATTGCAGCTTGCCAGTCCTTATATGTGCCGCCTGCATTAGTTTTATTTCTCAAGCAAAGAAAATTTTCCACACATACGTACTTAGTTTGCCAGAAATGCAGTGCCCTCATCACTTCCTGTGAGCTGAACTGAAATCACAAACATTGTTACTTTCCCCCCCCCCCCCATGTAATGGAGATGAAGAGAGAAAGACATGTTTGTAGTCCATACCAGGAGGGCGACCTAGGGTGCCAACACTGCTCCTCAATAGATACAGTGGTGTGAGTGAGTGTAGTCACCCTAGGACAGGATGTGTGTTATTAGCAGAATTACCAGGTGAAAAGTAAGGGGGAAATTAAAAAAAAAAAAGACAACTAATGCAGCCACCACATCTAAAGGTGCCCATACACCTGACGATTATAGTACGATAATAGCGGGTGATCCCGCGATCGTACGATAATCGTAAGGATGATGGGCAGCGTGCGACCGCATTTTCTGTACGGTCGTACAATTTTCGTATAACGAGCACGCTAGAAAACCTGCCGAAAATGGCACGATTTTTGGCAGGTTGGTAGCGCGATCGCAAGAAGAAAGCCGTATGGGCCGAGATCGCAAGTACGATCTGCCTGTCCAAGATGGGCAGGTCGTACGAACTTTTAATCACCTTACAACCATCGCACAACGAAAGTCGTGCGATGGTTGTAAGGTGTATGGCCACCTTTAGAAATGGTAAGCTGCAAATTATTACATTTTTGACAAATCTCAGGAGCCAGGTAGCCAATGATTCTTAAAAATGACAGTTGTTGTTGTTGTCAATTGAGCTGGCTCCTAAAAAGAATCCTGTTGGCTCCTGGATTGGACAGACTTGCTTCTGAATTTCAGATTAATTTATCCACCCCTGGTTTAGATACACCTTAAATTCGATGCTGGCGACGTACACTGTACGTCGTCAGTCACGAAGGGGTTAATGTCATACTTCTCACATGTGTTAGCCCTCAGGGGAACTGATCTGTTGTGGTATAGCCTCCAGAATGCCTGGAAAACCTTGGAGTCAGAGGCATGCACTGGAGTGTTACTTGCCCCATATGCATGCTGTGGTACGGTTGACTTTGTAGTGCCTTTACTAGGCACATTTATTAACATATTCTAGGAGGAGGCCAGCGCTACCATATTAATCCAATGGTGTCTTTATAGAGCAGTAAGGGGTCTCTGAATGATGCGAGACAGGGACAGAAATAGCCCTTCTAGTCTCTAGGTGCAAAGCTTTAAAAACAAAAACCCAGGAGGTGAGGCTTTGCATTAGGCAAGAAATATTTTTTCATTTTGGAGATAATTCTTTGTTTGTATGTACTGTGTGTGTGTGTGTATATATATATACATATATTTCATGATTGGCCGGCTAGACGGCTCCGGCTGGGTACCGGACGAAGGCTGCGTTCTCGCTGGAGAGGCCCCGGGGGGTGACAGGCTGCACATACTAAGGTAAGAAAGGACTTTTTTGTTAATCGGGAAGCCGATTCTTTACACGCTGCCCGGCTTCCCGGCTAATCAGGAAGCCAGGTGGCGAGTCATTACACGCCACCTGGCTTCCTGAATGGGACTTCCGTTACTCGGTAATTGGTATCGGCGAGTACCGAAAAAAAATTATCGGTACTCGGTACCAAAATACCGGTATCGGTGCATCCCTCATATATATATATATATATCTATATACTGTACAGTACAGTACAAGGAACCTTCATCATGCTTCACTGTTGCCTGCAGACACTCGTTATTGTACTGCTCTCCAGCTCTTTGGTGAACAAATTGCCCCTTGCTACAGCCACATGTTTCAAATTTTGACTCATCAGTCCAGAGCACATGCTGCCATTTTTCTGTGGCCTTGCGGCCAAAAAGCCATACCTCCGACGTGGAAACAAGGCTAAGTGATTCAACTATGCATGAAAACATAGGAACTGGGGTGAAGAAAAACCAGTAGCAGGTGCTCTTGACTGATGAGTTAAAATGTTAAATATTTAGCTATAGCAGGAGGCAGTTTGTTCACTGAAGGGCTGGAGAGCGGTACAATAATGATTGTCTGCAGCAACAGTGAAGCATGATGAAGGTTCCCTGCAAGTCTGATGCTGCATTTTTGCAATGGAGTTGGAGATTTGGTCAGGATCCATGGTATCCTCAATGCTGAGAAATATAAGCACTTATCAATCATGCCATACTATCACAGGGGAGTGCGATTGGCCCCAAATATTTTGCAGCAGGACAAAGATCCCAAACATACAGTAAATGTTATTAAGAAACTATCTTCAGTGTAAAGAAGAACAAGGAGTCCTGGAAGTGGTGGTTTGGCTCCCACAGAGCCCTGATCTCAATATCATTGCGTCTGCCTGGGACTACATGAAGAGACAGAAGGGTTTGAGGCTGCCTATTTCCACAGAAGATCTGTGGTAAGTTCTCCAAGAAGTTTGGAACAACCTACCTGCCGAATTCCTTTAAAAACTGTGTGCAAGTGTACCTAGAAAAACTGATTCTGTTTTGAAGGCAAAGGATGGTCACACCAAATATTATTATTATTATTATTATTATACAGGATTGGTATAGTGCAACAATTTGCTCAGCATGATGTTATCATATCTGTACCTCGTATTGCAATGAACACCCCCTCCCCCCCCCATATTAGGTACTCTTAAAGTTAATGTTTTAAAGGTAACAACAGATATAAAATGCTAGAATTTCAGTGCTCAGTAGATGCTCTGACATTTGAGCATTGGATGACGGGGGTAGGGTAAGGCTTAGCTCTGGGCAATAGGACTATACCTTTATTTGGGCAGACGTCGATGCCCCATATACAGTAGTGATGTGCGGGGGCTCGCTGCAAACCCAGTTTGCCCAAGCCTGTGCAAAACTGTGACTGAAACACCCCGCTCCCAACCCAATTGATAGCAGCAGGGGTATTTCCCACCCTTTTGGGACATGCAGTGTGGGGAGTAAAATGCCCCTGCTGAAACTCATTTTACCGGGAGGAGGGTGTGTCAGGCACGCTTATGCCTGTGCTTGGGCAAACGCAGGTAAATAGGGTTCGCAACAAGCCCCCACATGAATCACTAGTTCATAGCTTAAAATCCAAGAGAGCTCTACATGGGCACATAGATCAATTTAACAACTATAACAGGTATTTTCAGGTGCTACAAGGTGCATGCAATCTGGCAGGGTATGTTCACTTTAAGAACCTCAGCCCTAAAGATGAAAGATTTCCAGTACAAGCATGTAGGTGAAAATATAGCAAAACAATGTTGCTCTGATTAAGGAGATTGAATGGAATTCAGTGGGTGATGCGATGTCTCATAGTCACATATGAGTTGATATTCTACTTGTGCAAGCTGCTCAAGCTATACTGTATTTAAAGTGACACTAAACTCAGGAGTTAAATCTTATAAATGCATTCAAGTATCTTAACTATTAGCAATAATGTATCGTATTTGTGTATCACTCGGCTGTAGATCATCAAATCATCTCTGAATTCATGCTGACACTGTCCTTCCTTCTGGAGGGTGGCTACTTTTGTTCCTCATGGTCCCTGTGTGTTGAAAAGTAGTCACCGCTCCAAGCTCTCTCCTGTGATGGACTATAATCTCAGAGCTTGTTCCCGCCACTTCCAGTGCATTCCAGCATAATCAGCTGCTGGAACGCAGTGGATTGCATCCTAGCCGGCTCCCTGGGTTCTGGGGTGGGGGCTAGCAGTGCAATTGCCCGCACCAGAACTCATGGCACATCAATGCCTGTGTTGCGGTCCAGTGCGATCGCAATAAACAGTGCATGCAGCATTTTTTGCAATAGCACTGGATTGAAATGCAGGCAATGGTGTGCCACACGTTCTGGTGCATGCGATCGCACTGTGGGCGGGGGGCATGGCTGCGGTGCCATTGACTTAAATGCACCGCCACGCCCCTTCCCACCCAGAACTGGCCAGGATGTGATCCAGTGAGTACCAGAACCCTAATTGTGCTGGAACGCACTGGAAGTGGTGTGAACAAGCCCTCATGTTTAGTTTTCTAATTTGTATTGAGATTGTAGTCTATCACGGGAACAGGCTTGGAGCGGTGACTACTTTACAACACACACAGTCACTATAGGAAACAAAAGTAGCCACCCTCCAGAAGGAAGGCCACTGTCAGCATGAATTCAGAGATGATTTGAGGATTTGATACCCAAATACACTACATTTTTGTCAATAGTTAAGGTATTTGAATGCGTGTTTAAGATTTAATTCCTGAGTTTAGTGTCACTTTAACAGCAGAACTTCTCGAGTCATCTACCTATCTGCCAGCTTGTGGGGCTTTTGATAAATGCATAGAAAACAAAGCAGGTGCTTTAAAAAGGAGAAACAAGTCTGTCTTTCATCCGAAGAGCAAAAGCATTTACTCATAGAAATTCTAAAGAAGAACTCCCACTCTCAGCTATACGGTATCACCAGCTAGGTGAACCCACATGAATTGCAGGGAGCAGTTTTTCTTTTGTAGTAAAGGTATCTGGAGAGGAATGCTGTACTGGCCCATGGCCAGTAAGGGCTCACTGAGCTGGATAAAGTTTCAGTTTGGATGTGCGGGAAGTTGCTTGTGTTGGTTGGGAGTAAGATTCTGGTTTGGTGAGTTTAAGGGCAGGGAGTATACCAGTTAGAGACAGGCTTTTCACTGCGAGTGAGCAGACTGAAACTGATAAGACAGCCCCAGCCAACCCCTTGTGCTTCTCACTGCGAATATTACTTCATACTTCTCGCTTTCTTTATTTAACTCAAGCAAAGGGGGCATTTTTTTAATCCCTGGGAGGGTTTGCATACCTTCAATGTTTTGTGTCTAGTCAGGATTTTTTTTTTTCATTAAGAAATATCCTTCTGAGCCTCTATTTAAAATATTGGAATGTGCAGCTTTTGGCCGGTGAGGATTTGAGATTAGCAAGGACCTGCTAATTGCAGGTTTCTCGGCTGTGCATTTTTCCAGGGCTCAGAAAAGGGGAAAAACTGACAGAGGGTGAAGCCTGGAGTGAGCGTGAAGTCTGAAGGGCTTGGCTGCTATCAGGAGGTGTATGTTGTTCTCTCTCTCTTGAGACAGTATAGGAGATGCAGTAGCTTGGAAGTCACATTGAGACATCCCCTAGCTTCAGAACGGTTTTGCAGAGAAGATCAGGGAAACTGGGCCAAGGACCTAAAATCAGGTACGTTATACTTTTTAATAAATCTATTTTTCAAGGTTCAGCTAACGTCTAGATATATAAGGTGGCGTCACTTGTCATTTATTGGTTGGTTAAAACAATACTAAAAGTTAAACATTAGTTTTGTTTGGTATTGTTTTACGACAGTTAAAGGGTAACGTAAGAATTCTTGATGTGCTGCATGGTTAGAACTTTTGTTAGCCAAGGACACTTTTTATACCTTCCATACTAGACACCACTCAAAGTTCTAGAGACTAGACTTTGACCTTGCTTGCCATATGTTATGAACTCTCCAGTAGCAACATGAACAATTACTGAATATGTTTCCTCAAGACTTATTTAATAAAGATTAGCAGGGTGCGGCGGCGGTGAGCCAAGTGTAATAACCCATGGCAACCAATAGGATTTCAGTTCACTGTCGTCAGGCCAGCATAGATTTTTTTTTTCCATGGGTTTTATTGAACATGTGCTTGCCATATAAGTGGATAGAATTTGTATCATCAGGGAAAAAGTTTACTTATTCTTTATGTTATGTATTTGAAGTGTTGTCCACCGCAGTTCACAGGTTGCTATGTTCTCGGTGGAACAGCGATCTGTCATGATTCAGACTCTCTGCACTTTCCATGACAATCTGTTGGGGGACATGACAGAGAGTTTGTCAAAAAATCTGCCTCAACCCCAAAAATAAAAATCAGGATGTCTGAATCCCAGTTATGAATTGGTTTACTTACCTTTAGTTGTCACTTGATAAATTTGCAATTCCTTTTACAAACATGAGTATCATATTTGTGTAGTCGGTAATTGGTAACTTGTCAGTTTCACTAAAAATGTAAATCACTGAAAAATCCTTAATTCTCAATAGCGGTAACAGGATAGCACCTGTCTTTCGTTATACACCTGTAAAATCTACAGCACAGGACACAAGCAGAATTAAAGATGATACCGCCAATTTTCCCAGTCATCTTTGATTCTGCCTGTGTCCTGTACTGTACGTTCAAGAAATGATACTGTTACCATCTTTTATTATAGGAAATGTGAATATTTTTTACTTCCTCTTGAGCTCTTCTAATGTCTGCCAGGCAGTCGCTCTTCCCTCCGCACCTGTGTACAAAAATGCATTGAACATAAAGCATATCTAAACCCAAGAACATAAATGTCATGTATTGCAGATTTTCAGTACCTAGATGTGGTGGCTGCATTAGGTTTATTTTCCATGCTTTTTCCCTTATTGTGACCTGATCCTACCAGTAAGACACTTCCCAGAAAGTGTGTTAGGGCTGTAGGATAATAAAAGATATGTCACCAGCACTCATTCATGGGGCAAACGTATTCTTTATTTATTGTAAATATATCCTACAGCCAATGTCCTGTGGCCATTCCGGGGCGACACAGAACACCTCCTCCTTTCTCATCTCCATGACATAGGAGGAGGTGATCTGCAGTTGGGAGAGAGAACTGGGAACAATGTAAATGATCAGAGTGCAGCATAGTCAGAGAGTAAAGGAAGTAAGGAGCTCACATGATTTCCTGTTTCCACTTATTAAAAACTATAACAACTCCCTTTCAATGGTATATTTAACAGACCAAATGGAAGCAGATAAGAGAAGTTCATCATCAGACTTTACATACAGTTTAATGTCTCACACGCCAGTGCTCATTGGTACATTTGTTCTAGTTTCCTGCACTAAGGTGAAGATCAGCTTGTTGGCCAGCGTGTATTACTACCAATGTATTAGGCCCCTTTCACATGGGCGCCATCTTTTCCGATCAGTACAGACCCCCTGCTGGTCGGAGCAGTACGGAACGGATGTCGCTCTTGTGATACAGGAAAAAAACTGAAGTAATCGGACCCATGTTAAGTCTATGAGGAGTCAGGTGTAAGTAGACATGTGTCCGTCTACATCAAGTTACCTCTGATCCATCCCATTCAGGTTCGCCACAATAGAACCCTGTTCCGATTTTACTTTGAGGACCTAGACGGACTTGGAGGTAATCAGATGTAAATGGATGCAGGTTTGTTTACATCTGACTGCCCATAGACTGACATTGAGCTTCTGATCAGGTCTGCCTAAAAACTGACAGGCAGGCCTGATAAGAATGTTGTGTGAAAGGAGCCTAATTAAAGTCTTTAGCTTCTGTGGTTGTTTAGTCTATTCTTGGTGGCCATACACTGTACAACCATCGCAAGACATTAGTCTTGCGATGGTTGTAAAGTAATAAAAAAAACGTACGATCTGCCCATCTTGGACAGGCAGATCGTGCTCTCGGTCATCGCAAGCCTGCTCCCCTGAGGGGCGGGCTTCCGATGACCGCAATGCTGAACGGGCAGTGTGCGCGTGCGCACACCGGCCCGTTCGGCATTTGTCTCCCGAGCACCTTTCAAACCAGCACTGGTTTTCTAGCGTGCTCCTTAGACAAAAGATGTGCGCCCGTACAGTAGAAACGGTCGCACGTCTTCATTCACACTGCTCGATTCTCCTACGATCGCGGGATTTCCCGCGATTCTCGTACGAGAATCGAGCAGTGTATGGGCACCTTAAGTCTACTTATAAGAAATACGCACATGATGGGTTTATTGAAAAATATATGTCAGTAAATAACCCCCAGTTACTGTTTATTGCATTGAACATGGATCACATGACTGAAAATTGCCCAGGTAGTTAAGGCCTTATAGAGAATATAAGAGAGCATGTTATAATGTTATCACTGAGCAGAAGCTCAGAGGAAGTGGATTGAATGATGCTTGAATGATCAGGCTTAGGGCACCTTGTAGCAGGAAAAAGCACTGTGAGGCAGAACTCTAAACTGAAAGTGAGTATTACAACAAAGGCTGATTTTTTATTTTATCCTTTAATGAGCTATAAATCATCTTGGTATTTTTGGTTGAAGTTCTGTTTTAAAGTGTATCTAAATCCAAGAACACCTAGGGTAAAAGAAGAACTCCAGGGACATTTTTTTAAAATTAAACCTTGCATTGGGGCTACCTCTGCACTGCAAAGGTTACTAGGTTCAAAAATAACAAAGTTATACTCACCTGAAGCTCTGATCCAGCCTGATGTCACAGTGCTCTCTCCAGCCTTCTCTTCTCCTCCACTGCAGCATTGGAATGTTCCTCAGCATCCTCACGTCTATACACAGTGGGGGGAATTTATCAAAACTGGAGCATGGCAACCAATCAGCTTCTTTCTTCATTTTGCTCAGGTAAGATTTGAAAATGATAGAGAGAAGCTGATTGGTGGCAGTGCAAATCTGCTCCACATTTTGTCTGCTCAGGTTTTGATAAATTCCTCCCAATGTATAGATAGTACAATGTATAGTGATGATTTAGGGGATCTTAGACTGCTGCAGCGGAGGGGGAGAGAGGCTCCAGGCACCGGTCTATGAACAAGCTAGCTCCAATGATCAGGTGAGTATAATTGTTTTAACCTAGACAAAAACAAGCAGTTAAACCTTGCATTATGGGGGACTTTAGTAGTAAACAGCTCCAGTCACTATATATCAGCCTCAGTGTATTAAACACAGAAGACAACCTAGGGACTCTGGAATCCAATAAAAGCATTTACCCATATGATGGAAACTCAGTGCCTACTTAATTATTATATGAATACCAATGTAAGTTCTGCCAAATTCCGGCTGAATCGGGCAGAATTCGAGCCATGGGTGGCCCTGGCAGCACCACCACCCGACTTTCAGATGATTGACAGCACCTTCAGCCAATCGGCTCTTCCGTAACAACCTGCCAGCTGTCGCATCGCGACAAGCTGGTTTATACGCGAGAGCCGATTGGCTGAAGTTGAAATTGTTCATCTCGGCACGCTCAGCTCCGCGAACTCTCGCAAGCTGAGGTGCCGAGCAGAAAATTACATGACACACTGCTCGCAAAGGCAGCGCGCCCCCGCTCCGCGCTGCTTCGCGTGCAGTGTGTCACGGCCTTAAATCTGGGATAAATTGTCTAAATGCAAGAGGCATGTGTATTCTTACCTAAATCTTGGTGTGCTATTTCTTTCAGATCTGTGCAGTACTCCAGCACAAACCTTTCCTTGTGCAGGAGCTTCCTGTAAAAAAAGACCAGTCACTGCCACTGTCTCTCCTTGTGCAGGATAACTGGTCTTGTATCTGCCCCTCTTGTAGTTTTCTGCTGGTAGTCTGTAGTAGGTGGGGCCTGCTGGGCCCCTCCCACAGCTCTGCTCTCTGTACAAGCTATGTGCAGCACAGTGTTGATGTCATCTTTCACAAGGTAATGTTCATGTTTACAAAGGCATTTGGTAAAAGCAAAGTGCATTTATATCCTTTAAGGCTATTGAGAAATATAGTTTTGAAATAAAAGTTTTAGTGCCTGGAGTTCAACTTTAACTGATTTGCCCCAGCAGGCTACAGATCCAGGATAGAAGAACCACTCTGACACACCCTCTGAAGTGAGTGCCTGGTTCAACACTGGTAAGTGACACCTTTTTTAACTTCTTCACAACGTACTCGTAGCTATCCAATATAAACAACACTACTCACTTTAAGTGCAGCTGAAGCCAAGACTTTCTTTTCTAGGTTTGGATAGAGTGGAGAGGGATTAAAACACTGATCAGGTTTTTATTGCTGTCTGTGTCCCCATTGGGGAGATTTGCCCCCTCTATTTGTCCTGGTGCCTGTTATCAGTAAAAGTGAAAGAAAATCCCAAACTTTGGGTTGTCACCAGAAGAGGAATAGATGGGAAATCTTTCAATGGGGAAGATGGCCACCAGGGATTTCACTCACTTTGGTAGGATTTCCTCTCACTTCCTGTTGTGGCTATAGGATAGGAAGTGAGGGGAATCTCCCCAATGGGATCAAATGCACCACACTGCAGCACCATGTGTTTTCAGTAACATGTGGTAAAACATGCTTTTTACAGTGTGTTACTGCAGTGTACTAGTGTATTTATCATGCCACAGCAGACTAAATCATGTATGGGGGGGTTCTGGAATCTGAAAGCCCCTTTAAGATAAGGGTGCAATGCAATATATTGCCACCGCACACATTCCTGGAAAGAAATGAATGTAAAATGTGTAAATGTGAGTGCTGTTGCCAGCAGGTAAGCAGATAGATAAGAGTACAGGTATTCCTCACTTAACGACCGAGTTCCGTTCCTACGACCAGGTCGTTAAACGGATTGGTCGTTAAGTGAGGAACTCTATACAGTACTGTACTGCATTAGTACAGTACTGTATAGCGTTGCCGATGTACAGTAACGAACAGTGTACTGTACATCGGGCAATGAAAATACTTACCAGGACCCGCAATGAAGATCGGAGGACACCACTTCCGCCGGCGACACGGCGCACTGACGCTGACGCACAAGGTCGGAGGTCGATCGGCGCTCCGTCGTAAGTGCGAGTGGTCGCAAAACAGGTAAGTCGGTAAGTGAGGAACATCTGTATACTGTGAGGGGAATTTATCAAAACTGGAACAGACAGAATCTGGAGCAGCTGTGCATGGCAACTAGGGATGTTCAGATACCAAGTATCATACTAAGTACAAGCACAAGTACAGGTACAGATACTTTTCCAGCTCCAAGACTAGACTAGAGAAAAATTCAAAAGTTAGGAGGCAGCTGTCATTTTAAAGGAGCATACGGGGCTCCTGGGATTTGTGCATCTCTGTTTTATTGTATATAAATAAAGGGATGTACCGATACCATTTTTTCAAGTACAAGTACTGATACTTTTCCAAGTACTCACAGATACAAGTACTGATAAATTTTTGTTTATTGTCATGTGACAGTTTTTCTAAAACAATACAGACTAATGATTTAGTAGCAGCGTGTTCAGTAATGTTTTTTGCATGTCTTTGATTAGAAATAAATAGATATTTTTCTTTAAAAACCTTGACATTGTGGTTTGTCCCAGCCGATGATTAACCCTTGAGCTGCCTTCATCTGTAAAACAGTTCGCACACCCCTTGTTTTACTGCAAACTTTGGTTACAGGCGGGGTTGACGAACAAGGGCTATCCACAAGAGCTTGATATCTCCAGGAGTGAAACAAACCCAGTACCACATGGTTACAGTGCATATCTGCTCCAAATTTTGTCTGCTCTAGTTTTGATAAATTCCCATCTGTATGTTGCCAGCACACCATGGATCTGTAATCAAAAGCCCAAACATTTAGTGAAGCCATCACATCTCAAACAGTGCCGGTGCAACATGTCAAGGCCATGCAGGGCCTCTTCTTCAGGCATGTGCCTCAAAACGTTGCACCGACACTGTGATGTGATGGCTTCAATACATGGTGATGTGATGGCTTCAATACATGGTTGGACTTTTGATTACAGATCCTTGGTCTGTTGTTGACATACTGTATATTCTTATCTTTAAGACTAGGGCCCACATATCCAACCCCGCTCCACTCCCCCC